AGCCTGGAACCAGATCACTTATCCTATCATACCTCCAACATTTCTATACAGCAAACATTTATTAAAATAACTCTGACAAGGCATGTTCATGAATAGTTATGGAAAGGAAACATTGAGGGGAGATATTGTTGATACCAACACCTTAGGAACAAGGAAGGGGTGAAGACTAGTATCCCTATAAGATCCCATGAACGTTAACAATATGGACGCCGTCATAAATTTGCGCTCTGACCGGTTTCACCCTTTCTTATTTACTGGCCCAAAGCATCTAACTGCTCGATACCCCAGATTTCTTGGCCACTTGCAGAAGAGGTTTAAAAAAACAATACCCAAAAAGCAACCTGTTACAAATAGTGATTTTTCATAGAGGGACTTTGGAAGAGGTACTCTTACAAGCGTTCTTAGCATATTTGTTGCTAGTACCGAGCATAAGCGGATGCGATCCAAACAACCAGCAATAGCTAGTGCTCCATATGCCACCTAATGTATTGCCACAATTGATTATCAGTTTTAACTAAAAATTACAACAACTGTGTAGGAACTCAACCTAAGCAAAGAGAAAGATCTAGAGCACAGAGGAATAGGCACTAATCTGATAAAACCCTCATTTACGGAAATCACGCTCTTCTCCATGAAGCCAAAAGACTATGACCGGGAATTTTTCAATCACATCTGTCACCACGTACACTCCACATCCCCAGGATGGAAAGGGCGTGCCTTCATAACTTCGTCTGAACGTGGAAGCAGCAGCGCTTCTGATAGCATGTTTTCGTTGTGGGAATACAGTGATCATGTGGTTCACAAGACAGGATGGCAGTTGAGGAAAAATGCGTGATTCGCCATGATCAAATGAAGTACGCGACCGCACCCTCTCCAGACATGAAGTGTATATTATTTGACACCGTAATAATTGACAAGATTACCTTTCAGTAATACATTACATCACAGAAGAATCACCACTAATGAAATAAGCTGAACCATGGAAGTAGGATGCTAATTTGGTATCGCCATAGGAAAGCAAAAGCAACAATGAAAACACAAGCAAACAAAAGTCATTACTAACTCCTAAGAGCAGATTTGCCAGACTAGGAGCCCTCTCCTCAAATACAGCCCTTTACTTCCAGAAGTGACGAGGAAACAGTTCAGCTTAACTTCCGTTCAACAATTCCTGCTGCAATCGTTTGACCACCGGCACGGACTGTGATTCGACCGAGTGCCTTGCAATTTGTGTACGTATCGATTGCTACTTCACGTTCTGTTTCGATTTCCACCAAGCCACTCATTTGCTTTGCTAAGCATCTGAAAATGGTTTACTTCCTGCTTACCTAAATTTCCAAAACACTGATGTAGCACAGGTACGCAGCCCAGTTAGGCAGCGCTCAGACTTCGGGACGACGCGTCGATAGCAGACTGTGTGCAGGTAGTCTACCATGCTGGTTTTGTTTCATTCTCTTCAAACACAAGCAAGCACGCGCCGATCGATTACGAACTACGACTGCTTCCACAGCATATGGAGCGACGATTGAAAAAGAGGCGCTCGACGCGCAGTTGCGGCGCGACAAGGCGCGTCATCGCGAAGTCTGAACGCGGCATTACTTGTTGAGGGACAGATGACTCAGTGATAATATAATACAGATTTTTTTGTTGTAAACGTATTACATTATTGTTACTGTACCTCATTAGTGCACAAGCTGACACGTCACCATCTCACTCTTGACAATCAGCGGACCTGTACTACACCTGTGCCGCCATAATAAGAAACCGGTAATGGCTAGGATCTTAGGTGAGCATCAGAAAAAGTACCTTGGCCGCTCCTTGATTACTTCACCATTTGTCTTGTTGATTGATGAGATTAGTTGACCAACTGCATGCTCACAAAGTGAATGGCAGTATAATTCGCCTTTTGTCCCCTTCATGATTGGCACGACGATGTCGAAGACGACGATACGTGCAACAAAACGGTTGCACGGCATGAGAGCATCCTATAAGTGATCAACATAACTATTTGTTGCATTTGAATAAATTTTACGACGAATAAGAACTGAGTAGGGAACGATGAATCGAAAAGAAGAAGAAAGAATGCGCGCCGAAAGGAGTGGATAGAGAGCCAGTCGCTAGCGATAAGACAGTTTGAGAGAACGCGCGTGCCCCCAAATGAACAATATTCCCTTCACCCATCGCCAAGTATAAACTGAGCCCAGAATATGGAAAAAACTTCGGGCGTCGACCAGTCCCACCCTGGAATGAGCTATCCATTCTATTTTCATTAGAAAGAGTATTTTACATGCGATCTGGGTTATATAATGATTTGTGGTGTACATGCCCTTGACTCTCATCTTTTCGGGCAGATCTGGTACTTAAGCCGACCCCAACCCCTTATGGTTAGGGAAAGAATGCTTTCACGGCTGGGTCGAGAGCCGACGGTAGACCCACAAGCTTACGTGCCTGATAAGGCTGCGCTCATACTTTGCGTCAGCTTACCCCAACGTTTCGAGCGTGCGCCAGCGAAGGAATGTGTAGATATCGATATAGCGAACGCCAGCGACTAGGAAGGTATTGATATTGATAACGCCAGCGTCCACCAGAGTATGCCAGCGTACAGCAGCGTTTTCGCAGGCAGTCTTTCTCGTGGTAAATTGTCTGCAAAAACTGGCGTTTGGTAAATCAATATCCATAATTACCTAGTCGCTGGCCCTTGATCGATATCTATACTTTCCCAGTCGCCGGCGCTGGTGTGCGCGTTGAAGCAATGCCGTCGTAGACGTAATGTAGGAATGCAGCCTAACCAGCACCACTTGCCAGAATATTCCTCCGCCTAATTTTCAGTGTTTGGCAATAATAGCAGTCGAGAAATAATTGAGTACAACCTGTCCACCGCGTACGATGACGTGCCCCGCGTGAATAGTGTCCGGTTCAAAGGTACCGTTCAGGGTAAGAATTGCTTGATCGCCAGCCACGCAGCTATCTACTGATCCACCATTATCGTTGGTACATGCTAAAAAATTAGTCCCTAGTTTTCAAAGCAATACAATTAGTGTGGCCAACTTGAGCAAACCTTTAACGACAGCAGCATCTGCATTAGGCATTATGTACACCTTGTCACCGGCATCCACCTCTCCAGATTCGATTCTTCCGCTTACACTAAGTTGAGTATTAGTAGCCTGAACAAAGTAGATGCAGAGTGGTCAAACACCAAACGAAACTCCTGAACAGATAATATAACTAATTGAGAATTAAAAAAACCACAAAGAGTCAATAAAAGTTAACCTTAAAGAGGTCGTTTATTACTATCCGCAAAGGTCCTTCACAAGCTCGAGGAGGTGCAGAGAATGCGTCTGAAGAGATGGAAAACAATGGTATTTAGAAGACAATCATAGTTACAAAAAAACAAATCTGAAATAATATAAAACGAACGTCTACATCGAAGACGAATTTATATTAGGCTGCATTACACTTCGCGCCAGCCTTGAGAGAGAGCCGGGTTTTGAGAGAATTGGCATCTAAAGGCAGTTGACACGATAAATCCCCCAAGACACTAGGATCACGTCGGCGACAGAGTTCTGCACTTCTAGGCGGCGGCTGCATAGCGTTTTCTCACCGAGGAGGTGCCGTTATAAGATCTAATCAAGCCACAACTTACGTCCTAACGCCCGCCACTCGGTCGCCGCCCAAATGGACGACACCGTTCCTGACGCTCTTATTTCATTCATTTGCTGAGCAAATTATGAAGCAAAGGGATTGGTATGAAGCGGCCGTGATGCTGCATGCATATATGGGTACACATATGCAGCCGTATCTTCGGTAGCGGTGATTGGTAAGATGCCTACGGGAAACTCGTCCGAAATCGATTTACAAGTCACTGAGAACGGAGGCTTTTTCTTCGCAGGATTTTGACCGTTTCACTCCGTTCTTTCGCCATTTCCCCACTATACAGCGCCCTACTAGCATTTTAGGCTAAGTAGGAAACCATCGTGCCAACTGTCTTTGAAGGGTTCTGGGCGAAAAACAATGTAGAGGTGTCGATCAAGCGTTCTGGGACACACGTCAAGCCTTTGAGCGTGGTGAGTAGAGGCATCGAACGGCGCTCAGAACGTTCGCTCAGAACGCTGGCGTTTGTCACGAAACGCTAAATCGATACATATATTTCTCTTCTGCTCAAAAATAGTCAAAACGCCGATTCTCCCAGAGGACCGGGCCGTAGATTGAAAATTGGCCATACTACACGCCGCACGCGACAGATTGCCATTGTCTTGTCCATCTCTCCTGGTTGTGTGTCTACTTTGTAGCGCAATCGATATATTTAAAAGGCCGGAGTAAGTAACCGTCACTACGTCACCAAAGAGGCATTTCTTTGGAAAGTTCGATCCTGTATTTCGCCTGAGGTTGCAGACTATAAACAACTGAGCGAGAACGTATTACACCCCTCTCCGACATGTAAGATTCTTGAAGCAACACATTGAAAATATGAAAAGAAATAAGTATGGAAGCAATAACTCTACCTATAAGCTCTATTAAGCATTCGCCTGAATACCATTTTCGAAGAGGATGGTTTTCAGGAACACGATCTGACAAATTCTCGCCGCTCAAACCAGACACAGGCACAAGCGAATTTTACTGAATCCTGCCTGAATTGAAATATGAAGCAATCACATGAGCAGAGGAAACCAGAACGGAACCACATACCTGCTTGGTCAAAAATGTTTTCATGATAGCCTGAATTTCGAGGAATCGCTCCTCTGACCAGTCAACGGTGTCCAGCTTGTTTACAGCAACTACCAACTGCCCAACTCCTAACAGCTATTAGTTATGAGCTTTCCAAAGAAACTATAAGAAAAACTCTAGAAGAACTACCAGCTCACCAAGTGATCGTAGCAGCATGGCGTGTTCTCTTGTTTGACCACCGTTTTCAAATCCAGTTTCGAACTCGCCACAAGTAGAATTCACGACTAAGATAGCAGCGTCTGCTTGCGAGGCACCTTTAATAGAGAGCGAATTCGTATTCAAATTGTACAAATATGAAGAAAAAGATATTGAAATTGGGAAACACCCCCAGAGAAAGCATGCTTCGCGTCACCTCCTCCTCATACCACAGCAAAAGGACAATACCCTAAACATTTCTTGCGCTTCTATCTTCGACCACGTTGATCGGCGGTCTGTTTACCCCACAACCTGCTAAGGTGCAGAATTTAGAATGAATGCCAGAACCTCACCAGTGATCATATTCGGAATAAAATCCTTATGTCCAGGGGCATCTAGTAACAAAACTCGCTTCGAATTCGTCTCAAATGTTGTCTTTGCTATGTCCATAGTAACACCACGAGCTCTGAACAACGCGTCGTGAAGGAATACAAACGGTGAACTCACAACTACTAGTAAACTAACCGTTCTTCCTCTGTTTCATCCAACACCCAAGCGAATGCAAATGAAGCCTTTCCGGATCTGGCTGACTCCTGTTTATACTTATGGAGGGTACGTTGGTCCACACATCCGAGCTAAAACAAGAATGAAGAATGAAAGAGTGAAATGCTGATACTAATGCTTAGCAATTCCTACTTAATCCCCGAGTAGGACATGCTTCACTAAGCCCTACGAAATAAGGCTCCGTTCATACTTTGCTCCTGCCTTTTAGGCGTACGGGTATTGAGCGTTTTGAATGTTTCAACCGACTTGCAACTTATAAGTAAAGAAAAGATCTAGTGTATGCTGGCGTGGTAGCGTCTTGAGAGGTTTTCGCGATTGGTTGCTGAAAACGCTGATGCGCCCTCAAAACGCCGTCGTACGCTACATTGATATCCATACTTTTAGTCGCTCGAAACGCTCAGAGCGCTGCCGCACTCTCAATACACTGACAAAGTATGACAAAGTATGTGCAGCCGAAGTAGTCTACCCGTTCAAGATCTTCAAAGCACACTCATTGTTGTACGAAGATGACAATCAATACCACTGAGAAGCTACTGACGATAGGATTGTTTATAAAAACAATGCAATGCAGCATTGATGAAAGCAGAACGAACTCGGCAGAGCAGGTGACCCATCAGAGTGCTTTTACCGGCATCCACATGACCCACAACGACCAGGTTTATCAATTCTTTGCCTTCATCGCGTCGTCTTGAACGTCTCGGTGTTGTCGGTGTAGATGTGATCGCTGCCAATTGGTTAAGCCTGAAAGCAAAATCGATTTTCATTTTCTGACCATTAGTAAACTAGCGAGATTTGAAAACCTCACCGATGAGAACTGGAATTCGAGGGAAGATTCCCAAGCGGAGGATTCGGTCCTGTTTTCTTTCCGGTCGGCGATTTCGAAGCACTATAAGATGGTTCGGAAACCCGTAAGTTAGCGATACTTGGGACGACAGGCTAAATCAGATGTATAATCCACTGGAAGTGCAGTCTCGCACTGTAGAACTATGCAGAAAACAGCTTTTCGAAAAGAATTTGAGTGTGCGCTAAAGAAGTAGAAGGAAGTCAATCGATTCTCCCTTTCTTCAAATTCGCCATATCAGTACGTATATTTACGTTTGGCTTGCATTTATTCTCCAATAGTAGATAATATCTAGAAAATCGAGAAAAAAAAATAGAATTTTTTGGCGGGATATTTGGGCCTGACGAAGTGCTACGCACCGAAATATCGCAAGATAAGATATTTTAAAAAACTTTTGAGACTTTTGCTGTCTTTTGAGTTTTTTGGAATAAAATTTTGGAGTTTCACATTGTTATTACACATTCAGATAAGCAATGAGACCGGGACAGCACCATAAAATTTCTCCAAACAGTAATGAACTGCAGGGTCGCAAGGCATAAAGGCGAGCTGACTGCTAGAAAAGCACACCAGGCCGCGCTTGATCGAGTCAAGGTATCAACGATTTTCGTGCAAAATAATAACGTGCTAACAATACTCACCCAAGAATCTGCTGAAATGCTGACCTATATCATGGTGAGCAAGAAGATACTTGCATGAAAAGCACTTAGAAGGCAGTGGACACGATTTCTGGGGTCGGGCGGTTGTCGCCAACACCACTGATAGAAAGGCTGAGCGTGGCTAAACGTCGATTCACAGTCCTTCCTTCAATGACACTGTCCACAATCGCCCGCCTCTAGCAATCGCGCTCACTGCTTTGAAAAGCCTATATAGACAAATGGACTTTTACATGAAGCGAAACAAGTATCAGGTTGTCCGGAAAGTTTTGAGAAAATTTCACACTTTAGTTTGAAGAAGTGTAGCAAGCGAATGCCCCAACAGAACGTCATATATCAAGTGCTATGAGAAAGAGAAATGTTTGTAGATCAATACTAATGCTGGTTGTTATTATTCTCCATTGTTGGTATGATTTGACATTACCTGAAAATGTACGGGCGTGCAACGGCTTTTACTTCATCTTCACCGTTCTGGCTCCTCTATCGGTCAAATCGGGAATGAGGAACCGTCTCCGATGCTGGATAAATGCGCTTCAAAATTATCTATACTAGGAGATCAATCGGTCTCTTCCATGGAAGTTTAGCTTAGATGTTGCGTACGCCCCCTCATTCTCAGTACTCGCTTAGTTCTAGCTCCCACGCAAGGTAATCCCGCCCAAAAGGTAAGGGACATAGGATGGACAATATTTATTATAACTATGAACTACTATCTCTTATTGTTGTTGATAAGTGTTAAATGAGCTGGTTGAAATTTCTCAAAACTTTCCGGACACCCTAATAAAAGGCTTTGTCCTGTATAAAGTCCTATACAGCTGGTCTTGCAAGAGCGATGCGGCACTTTCACTCAACCCACTACCTCCGTCCAATTTAGTGAGTCATCGTAATATCAGAGGAACAACAACAGTCTCAAATTATCTGGTCATTCAGGATTTACTAACAGTCGTTGATACAACTGTCCTTCGAAGTATGCTTGGCCTTTACATCGTATAAATCGAACACTATGAATGTTTGTGCGATTGTCAATGCATCAATTCCTACCTCTTTTTCTAGGCTAGGAGCCATTGGTGGCAACGAAATCACTATAGGCTTAGAACCACGTTGAGCTTCATCAAAGCCAAGTCCTGGAGGAGGGCCAAGATCAATTTTCGGTTGAGTTGTCGATGTCGATGCAGCAGTGGGCTTTTCAGCTTTACCATCAGCACCTAAAAAGCTCTTTCACTGATGATGATTTTCGGTCGACTTTCGACAAAGAGTACCTCCATCAATATCCATATCGAACATTTGATCATCCTGATAACCGGGAGCATCATTGGCTGATTCTGGATGGTTAAGTTCTTCAGGTATTAATTCGCTCAGCTTGGTGTCGATCGTAAATCCGCAAGAAGGTTTTTGTCGTTGATACATATATCCCGCTGAATATTGGAATGTGGAATATAAAAGATAGAAAGGTTGGTCGATCTCAGCGTGTCCGCGGATTCTCTTTGGTTAAATCCTGACTTAGCAATAATACCACGAAGGTTTTACTTACTAACACTTGGAGACATAGCTACATCATCTTCATATGACCGACCATAATAGTCATCGTCGTCATCTAGTTCTGAAACAGAGTTTAGATTGAAAACAATCACATGACTGGGTCCCAAATATTCAAAAACACCAAAACGGGTTTCCTACAATAGTAAAGGAACAACATAAAGTAGCTACTACAGATTATTTAAGAAAATGTAGAAAACTGATGAAGTGGTTACCTTCGGAGTAGCTA